TTGTAGTCTTTGGAAGCCGACAACTACTTGCTAAACTCCCCAACTTCAAAATATCTCTTCTAGGAAAAGATCTCGCTCTTACATTTTCGGCCAAAGATCTTGGGGTTGTTTTAGATCCGCAACTAACGTTTGATGACCATGTTCTAAAAACTACGTCATCTTGTATGTCAAGCCTCGCACAAATCAGTCGGGTTAAACATTTTCTTGACCGTAATTAACCAACTGGTGACAGTAATAAATGCCCTAGTCTTTAGCAAATTACTGTACTGTTCCACAGTGTGGTCGAACACCACGAACAAAAATATCTGTAGACTACAGTCAGTGCAGAACTTTGCCGCGCGCATTATTACAGGTACCAGGAAATTTGATCATATAACCCCCGCACTAAGAGATCTACGTTGGTTTCCAATTAAACAAAAGCTGTTCTTCCGCGACGCTCTCATGGCATTTAAATGCATGACTGGTCAAGCTCCACATTACCTCAGCGATCAATTTACAACAAGAATTGCGGTCACCGGGCGCGTGACTCGAAGTTGCCAATTATTCAACAACCCCTTGTATAAGTCGAGTACCGGACAGAGAACATTCCACTACCGCATGGTGCACATTTGGAACAGTCTAGACAGTACTCTTAAAACTGCAAAATCGATTTCTACTTTTAAATTTTGTCTGAAAAATACGTTGATTACTGACTTTTTAAATAGCACGTTATGATAGTATTTTAATATCTTACTACTATCTTATTTTATTTTAACTTAAAATATGCATATTGTATAGTACGTAGTGAGAATATTTATTATACGATTAATTCTTAAATAGGTATGTTTATATTGCTTTGTTCACCGCATTCTTTCCTTTTAATCGAATTGTTAACTACTTCTCTTATCTTAATTAGTTTTTTTTTAGTCGCATTGTCACTGAAAAGCCCCACCAGGGGAGTGTCACTAAACTATTGTATTGTATTGTATTGTACCCTAGACGGCCAGAAGTCATGGTGGGGCGCGACAGGGAGTGAAAGGCGTACCGCCAAGTGTGCGGCCAACGAGGACGAAACTTGACTATGACCATGGCAATACGCCTTTTGCTGTTCATTACGAGAAATACGCAATCATTTGCGTCAAACGGCGACCAATAGTGCGAGGATACATTCATTAGCGCGAAAATACGAACATTTGCGCATAAACCAGATTCAATTACGATTTTTACATTTTAATCAACATTCAATAACACTTTTTTGCATTCATATGTGTCATTGGGCATACAAAAGAGAAAAATATACAAAATATACAAATATACAAAAATATATTAACGCAAACATCAAAGTCATTAACATCATCTCGAAAGTCAATAGGGACAACTGACACACATTAAAGTGCAAACACTATTCATTAACATTTTTGCTTCCCCCCTCGACATCGTTGAAAAGGATTTAAGTTGTCTGAAAGCGACACCAAAGGCCGACATCTCGAGTCCGGAAATTGAAAGATGTATAACTGGAATGAGGGCATAGCCCTAGCAATCCCACTAGCGGAGTTCGGAAACAACAACTGCAGTGCTTGAAGCTCTCTGCGCAGTAACATGACATTGTGACCGCAGCTAAATGTGCTAAGGGGTACCATTTGATGCAAACCTACCCCCCAACATGTTTAAATAGCGAAGTTTTTTTTTCACAGCCCCCATAATCCAAGGCCTCAGCCAGGACATTTTAATAATTCCACGACTCGACGGCCGCGAAGTGAAAAACCACTGCAGACTTCGGGATCACGCACATTTCTTTCATTTTCTTGTTTTTCGATAGCAAACAAGGAAGCTTTCAGCCGATCTGCGGCATTATTATTGTGAATAAAAAGCTTTAGCTCTGCAAAAGCGGTCCTTGTTTGTTCTTTTTGCGCTAGTGGGAAGAACCGCCGCCATCTTGGATCTGGCAATGTTATGCGCAGTAGAGACTGCCCAGTGCAAAACAAGGGAATTACCTTAAGGTGATAAAACAAATGCGGTTCTTTGAGACGGCTGTACGCGTATTAGTTGCAAATGAATGCAGCCTTTAATGGTTTACCAGTAAGTCTTATTCATTTTTCCTTTTAATTTTTTTCTCTGACAACGCTTTTTCCAGTAGGTTATATCCAGTGTATTTTACCTGTGATCGCCAGCGCTTAGATATAGGCTATTACACACTCTCGTGTTTAATATATCATATGAAATAACTTTTCATTCAATATATTTATGCAATGTATATTATAATATTAATATCATTTCCACTTTCATATGCAATATATACTATAATATGTTTAATAGGTGCATGGTTTGAACCCCGGAGTCATGTCAAATACGGAGATGGCATCGCGATTTCAATGCATGGCCTGTCAGGTCAAAAGCACAAGTTTAATAACATCAACAGACGTCAGTACAACTCGTTCTGACTCTGAAGATAACTGACATACAGGTTAATTCGAAACGTCAGTCACTGTCGACAGTAGTAGTCCTATTCAGTACTACGCCAGTCTGAGCGAACATTCCACTTACAGCTGTACTAATTAATAATATATTTTCTGTCACATTGTTGCAAAAAAGGAGGTACTAAAACAATATAAATATAATAACACAAAAAAGGGATATTTAAGCAATAGACCACACTTTCTATGGGTTTACCGGCGTGATAACCCACGCGGGATGTTGGGAGAACACTCGAAAAGCTTGTAAATCACGAGCCGAAGGCGAGTGATTTACAAGCTTTTCGAGTGTTCTCCCAACATCCCAAGTGGGTTATCACGCCCGTAAACCCATAGAAAGTGTGGTCTATTGCTTTTATAAAATAACTTTTAGTAGAATGGAGTCTTCTAGGTAAAATTTATGGTTCTAGTACCGTGATCAAGTCACGTCTTCTCTCTAAAGTCATCATAAGCCAATCATGACTCACGAATTAATAGCGTTGAACTTTCTCAAAACAACAAACAGCAGCACTTCAAAACACGAGTTTTTGCACTCATTACATGATAACTTATGAAAGCTGTTTTACATGAAAAGTCAACACATATTCATGCGAACGTACAATGAAAGAATGCTTTCATGGTTTGTTTACTACAGAAGTAGAAATTAATTGAACATCAGACTGTACGCAGCTGTATTTTGTTGAGTCGATCCGTAAGAATTTCGTTGTTACAGACAGAACTGACAGCTATTGGAATGGAGGACTTCGTTCACTTTTTACAAGCCGCAGTGGTTTAAGATCTGTTTTGTGGACGTTATTATGATCAGGAAATGCTGCGGTAACGACGTGGCTGCATTTGCGAAGTTGTAGCAATATGTAACTTTATATGCACGTACAGCGACCGATGGAAATATGTCAGTGGTGGAGAAAGGTTTCTTTGCCGTAGCCACATATTGGCGTTGATATTTGTCGATTCGTGAAGTCAGGTGGTTTGAGGTAGGTTATATGACATCGATATCACCGAATAATTTGTGCAAATGTTGGAAAAAACCAGCCCGAAACTCTGACATCTTTCACCATCGTTGACAGCTTGTTTACAACCTACGGCGGCCGATTTTCTACCATATTTTGATCAGAGATCTCTTTTTGGAACAATTTCTTTCATTAAGGAATTTAATTTTGACATAAAATAAATCAAGAATGCTAAAACTTCCGTTTTGTTGCTGGTTGGCACATGGTTAAGTTTTCCTGGAGACTTTCTACACCAGAAATTCACACAGTTGTTGTCTTTCTCTGCGATTTGGCATCGTCGTGAAATGTAAACTGTTTTCCAGCTTTGTACTTTATAACTTCTAAAGCTATGGCAGCAGCGAATTGTGACGCTCAGTAATAAAATGTGGAAACCAACGCTTTTAATCTTAAGAAGGGCTGGGCAAGTAACTTGTTCTGTTTTTTAGCCTTTCTAAAATCGTTGTTTGCAGATCAATTAAGCCGGTTTTGTTTATGGCGCGTGGTTCGGATGCCTTTTCCTATGGGTTTACCGGCATAATAAACCATAGGTTTTTGACCAATCAGATCACGCGTACTATCTCAGTTATTTTCTAAATATATATATATATATATATATATATATATATATATATATATATATATATATATATATATATATATATATATATATATATATATATATATATATATATATACTCTTTTTAGCATGTACTTTACTAGATCTTTCGTTTGATGATCAAATATAAGATCCTGCTTAAGAGCTACTTATGTCTTTTGAGAGCAACATTAACAAAGTCAAAATTGCAGTATCATCCTTACAATGAGTTGATGTGCTTATAAGCTTATTAAAAGAGACCCTAAGGACCAGGGCCTTTAAATATGAAATCAAAGCCTCTTCGATGACCATAACGTCAATAACACCCCAGCATGGGGATGAAAGACGACGTTATTTTAAAGAGCACAAACTAACTAGGAATGAGTTCAAATGAATGGATAGTCATAGCTAGTAGTAATCGTCCAATTATCGCGTACTTGTGTAAACATAGTGGAGTACATATTTATATTGTGCTTACTGCATCAGCTGAAACACAACATAGAAGTTATATCTCTTAGCTGCTTCTTAACGTGTATCATTTAACTAATGGTAAAAAAAAAAGTTGAAAATATCAACAACAACAACAACAACAACAACAGATCTACCTTAAAGAACTGGCTATCGAGTCAATTAATTTATCAATCTCTAGTAACAATGGCTTCATGATAATAATGTATACTTGTTATTCAAACGACTAAATAAATTGTCATAAACTTGCGTGATGCTTTTACCAAAACAGTATGTTACTTAACAGCTGAAACGGTCACATACTGAAAAAAACCCTCCCACAGCGTCCAAAATAACTGAATTAAAAGTAAACAAGCCCTATCAGGATACTAGTAAAACACCTTATTTGTGACTTTTTACATGGCTATTAAAAACTCTTTATGTTAATCAGCACACAGCAAGTTTAAAAGGCTAGGCATTTGGAATTTTCCTTTAGTTGGATCGGTCATTTGCTCGAGAATGAAGACCCTTCTTCTGCTAGTTTTGGTTGGCTGTGTGCTAACTGTGGCACTAGCCTTTCCATCCGGGGAACTTCTTCGCACAAAAATTCAAGACAGTGAAGAGCTCGATAAAGCAGAAAGGTTAGTCACGTGTACAAAGAGTTAATGTGGTTTTATGGCATATTATTTTTGGGAGGGCTTATACTGAAACACGCGGTGGAACTTCTATCATTTAATCTGCTGCGTATGTTAAATGATCAGGTTTTTCTCCCATAATTAAAGCTTAACTACGTAGGTTGAGACTTTGAAACGTAATTTGTCTCACTGGAACTAAAAAATTGGCGCTTCTTAAATATAACACTATGACCCAACATTAAAATTAACACCATTTAAAAATACTTATTTTTCTTCAGTGAACTCCTCTTCGGCACAAAAAATGTAGCGGGTAAAATTGACGAGGATGACACGGATGCAGAAGAAAGTGACAGTGATGATAAATATGGTGATTCTGAATTGGACAGGTATGCTTTAATTTGTACGATTGAATTAGATGAAATTATATTTCTATTAAAAACACTGTTTACTCCAAAGTTCATTTTCTCCCTAACTCATAAATTCATTAAAAGGGCTTAAAAGTATTAAATGAATAACAGAACAGAATAACATTTGTAGCAGTAATAGTGAAATTGCACTTGTGAATTAAGGTATACATGTTATTCCTGTTCTACGCGAAAGAAACGCTAAATTGAATGGTAATTTTGGGATTATTGTTCGTAACTCGAATTGTCCATTTTTTGCTTGTTTGTTTGTTTGGTGATCACCTTACAGTACCCTTGATCTCGATAAACATTGCTCATCCTGTGTAGGACAATTTTCACATATAAACGTAGTATACACGTTTGGCTTTGAGTCTCTGTATCGCAATAGATAGAGCAACCACCAAGTGTTACTTAAGGAGGTCATAGACTTCAAATTCCCGTCAGGGACTCAAGATTTTTTCTTTGTCCCACGCTCGTCAATCGATTTTCGCATAGGCCGACTTAAGTGAAAACATAGCAGTAAAAAAAATGTGTGCTAATATTGAAACAATCATTCGTGATCTACCACTCACTGAGTCAGCGTGAATTTTGTGTCTTTCAACGTAGGCTTGGAACCCTGTAGGGGACTCGATAATAGACATGTCACGGTTTTCGACGCCATCTTGACGAGTAGGCAAACGCGAGAGAAATTACAGTGTTTGTATGAGAACCTAATGTCGAATAATTTCCGTAGAATGACGGTTCTGAAAAAAATATGAATTGTAAACTAAAGCTTCACTCCTAAGGAATCTACTGAAAAAAATTGAGGGCGTTAGATGCGCTAGAAGACCTAGAACCACTTTTAAAATTTTCTATACATTTGTCTGTAAGAAAGTCCCGGGAAAAATTAGAGACAAACATATGGAAAATCTAAAGCAAGCCTCTGGAGAAATTTAAGCACAAGTTCGCCCAAAAAATTTTTAAGTACAATCCTTTGTTTTGTAGCTTTAGTTTACAAGTCATATTTTTTTTAGAACAGCCGTTTTACGGAAATCATTCGACATTAGATTCCCATACAAACACTGTAATTTCTCACACGTTTGCCTACTCGTCAAGATGGCGTCGAAAACCGTGACAAGGTCTATTTTGTTTTCTTTGTGACGCGCTCGGTAACTCGCATAGAGTGACTTAACTGAAAACATCACAGTAAAAAAGGGACAAAATTATACAGTGAATAGCAAATTGCCTACGGTATTTTTTGGTCTGTTATAAGGTGGCGTAAAATATTTGCTAAATATAATGTTTCAAACTTCTTGTTACTGAGCCTCTGAAAAGAAGACAAGAATAATGTTTTTGTTTTAGTAAATCAGAAAATCGTTTGGAAGACGACGGCAGCGAAGAAGACGAGCAAAGCGATTTGTGTGATGACGACAACGATGATTATGATGATGATGAAAAGGAAAGGTAAAACATTCATTCCCGTAAGGGTGACTAATCTCAATTTTCTCCGAACAATATCAATACATGTACATAATCACGAGAAAAAGTCAGTAATGAGAATATATCGTCAGATGATCACCAAAGGGATAATGCTTTGATCTCCGATATCTTTCAACACATTCTCTCAACTATGCCCTGTAAGAAAATGTATATAGAGACCAGTGTTGAGCATTTTTTTTTTCAGATATTGGGGCTTAAAGGTTTAAAAGAGAAATTGTACAAATCATACATCTCTGCCTTTTTATGAAAGTCTCCGTTTTATAAGTGGATAAATTCCTTACAAATTCCCTACAATAAAATTAGCTAAATAAAGCGGACGCAATTGACAAGATAACTCTGGTAAAAAAAATAAATATAGTGACGCTGAAATGGACAAGTAACCTTTTAACGATTAAATTAACTAAAATTATTTTAAGAAAAAAAAAATCAAATCCAATGTTGCACATTGCTCCTAACTTGTGAATGCATTCATGGTGCGTGAGCCATATTCGCATTTTTTAACCAAGTGAAATTGCATTTTTGGGTATACGGTCGGCCTTTTTCCAATCCTATTAGTAAAAGAAAAAGCAACATTTGGGTTTTTTCACGTTTCGGGGGATACATTACTCCGTGTTTTTAAATTTAAATTAACCATCCTTCTTTATCACGTGATAGGGTACTTTCTCGGCATTGCTGATCCTTGCGGTATTTAGGACACTTGCCATGAACCTAGTTATTAATATATTTTGCCTTGCTTTCAATCATTCTCTTTGTATCACGGATAGATCAACCCGTTCGGAGTTCGGGCGATCATAGGTTCCACTTTTGTCGCGGAGTTACTGAAGACTGTTCTTTGTTCTCCCCTCTTTACATGTTAAATATCACTTCAAACGACTTCAGCAAAAGGTGCTTTTCACTCTAGCATCAGTGGTTAGAGCGTCCGAACTAGAACTCTGGGGGTCGTGAGTTCGAGTTCTCAGCTAGAGCTCGGAAATTTTTTTTCTGAGCTTTCTGGTGTTTGAATTCTCCTTCTTCTTTAATAGAAATAGGTCAGAGCTAATGAAACAGGTAGAAACAGGGACTATATAACAATTATTCACCGAAGTGGAGGTGGCTAGTACTGGTGGCTGGTACTGGACCGACACTGAGGTGAATAATTGTTTAAGTATATACTGAAACAGTGAGATAATTGAGCACAAAAACGATGATTTTTAACTCATTTACTGTTGCCAACGAAAATAATTTTGGCGCGCGATGACCGAACGGCCGCCGTCGTCGCTGTTTCTTCCTGGCGACAAATAAAACTTTTGAAGGCGTTTGTTTAGCTCGTGCGGGGAAGTTTCTTTAAAAGGAGTTGTGAATTCTTTTTGTATTTAAAATCATTCCGTAAAAAAGATTAATTACTAAATTTAGTTTTAAGCTTATTTATGAACAAGTCAACTAAATAAAGTAACGCAAGACTTAAGCTTAATTTGCATTTGTAAACAAAAACCTTTTTCGCCGGTTTTATCGACAAATTCAAGTCAAAAAGACAAAGTTTTACAGGTTAAAACTTCCAAACCGAACTTCGTCATATTCTTCTTGTATTTTGGGAATAGCTTGCTTGATTAGTTGTGAAATTTCTTAGTTTGTTACGGATGCAAACTAGGAATTCATTTTGCTCGCAACTTACGTGAGTTTGGCGTCGCTCGCTCGGAGGAACTGGAGGTGAATCAGTGAATAGTGCAGGATTGTCTCTGATTGAGTAGCCAATCAGAGCGCGCGAAAAACACTGTCCACTGTTTTAGTATATACTAAAAGGAGTTGTCAATAGTAAATTTTTGGCCTTTAAACGGAAAATGTTTGCTGAACGTTTTATACTTGTTCTTGATTCAGTGAATCAGAAAATGATTTAAACGATGATGACAGCGAAGAAGACGACCAAGAAACTTTTTTTGATGATGGTGACGTTGTTAACGATGATTTCGAAGAGGGAAGGTAAGACAATTTACTCCTGAATGTTTTGTCTTACTTCTGTATTGAAGAGAAAAATAGAAGAATGCATATCCGTCGGTGTTTGTTATCAGAAAATTACGTTCAGTGTATCAATGAGGTCTTCGTTCTCTAACAGTCTTAATTCCACACAAACCAGCTAAACTGCAACATTGTAGGGTGTTCTATCTTTTTACCTCGATTACTACCCTCAAAACTCGAATTTGTAACCATTTGAGTAGGTTATATTTTATTTTTAACACTCAAAGCAAATTCGTTACAGTGAATCTAATCTTGGTCCAAAAGAAGAAGATGAATCTGATGAGGATGAAGAGAAGGGCAATGAAGACCCAAGAAATCTACAGCACTTTTACGAAGAGGGTGACACTTTATCTTCAAATCGAGACCCGATAAAAATTCGCTTTCGACGCATTGGCAGAGGCATTGGTCGTGTCATTCGAAGAGGAAAACGTATTGTGCGCCGAGTGGGCCGCATTATTCGAGGTGGAAAGCGTATTGTCGATCGCGCAAGACGTTTCGGAAGACGCGTCATTCGTGGTGGCAAACGCATCATTCGTGGTGTCAAACGATTTGGACGAAGAATATTTCGCAGACGAGGGCGTCGTCGACGTCGACGTAGACGTCGACGTCGTAGCCGTGGCTAGGTCATTAACGTGACCGTGAGGTAAGGTTATTTGTTACTACATTTAAGTCAATGATAATTTTTCTCATACAGGGACCTTTCAAAATTTAGCTAAAGAAATAGAAAGTAAAGGTGACAGAGGTTTTGTTTAATGAGGGAAAACAGAGAAAACTGTATGGAATCATAACCTAAAAATTTCTTGATCGAACCTTTCATCCGACTCCACCACCCTCCCGTTCCATGACGTTTTGTGGACCTCTAGACGCCTTGTGCTGGTTATTGAGAAGCGAACCTTTACTTTCTGGCCTAACACAATGTGTTTTTACCTTTCTCTCTGGTTTTCTTTTTTTTTTTTCAGCAGTGTAACAAGGATGTTCAATGAAAGCAGTGCCTTAACAGGAATTTCGGACCTTGTCATAATCTTCCTTCAGTTAACCTTCAAATTTAAGTAACCAGTTGAAAACATTAATGTGGTTGAGATAACAATACATTATTAAACATTAACATTAACAATTCATTTCTTATGTTCATATCCTAACTATAATCGATAATTGAATTAAAATCTTGTGAAATTTACAAACTGTACGTGGTCTGATAGTTTAAATGTTAACTTGCCAGCACTCCCCTAAACGCCAACTCCTCTTCCAAGGGCGTATGCGCATAAACCAGTCAATGCCATGAGGGAAAAACTGCGCCTTCGTACCATATAGCAAGAAAAGAAGGGACTGCTGGTGTCGGGTTTGAAGGAAAATACACTATTTGCTAGGGAACGTTTATTACTAAAAAAATCTCTCGATTTTTAATTTTTAAAATGAACACTAATGAGGAGCAAAAAAGAAACGCGAGTACATATCTTGTTAACTCCTTAAACTTGAATAGAATAAATTTTGGACAGAGTGCAACTCTGAGAGGAGCAGAGTTGAGTTGTGAGTTAACTCGTTTTATTTCTCCCCGCCTTCGTCTGATCACACAGACTTCATCAGAGAGTATAACAAGATAGAGCTAAGGAATAAACTTTATACCTAATGATTAAGACAAAATCGTTTTCCGGAAAGGATGTGAACAGTAACACGTTACTAACGGAGGTTAAATTACGTCTTTGTCGCAGGCTACTGTAACGTCCGCTCATTGATCTAGATTCAACTGAAGCTATCTTTTCTTGTCTTCCATTGTTTATCTTGTCATTTGAAAAACGAACCTTTCAGTGCACTTGTCTCTGGAAACACCCACCCTCCCACCCCGGGGAGACGTGGGGCATACGTGGGGATTGGCAAGTGCTTAGATGACTTACCAGCCCCCAGAGGGTGGGGGCATAGTTCACTTTAGACAATTTATATTTTAGACGGGGAGTGGACTCTAGTCCGAAGCACATGGTCGATAGTTCAAAATAGCGGGTTCTGAAGGTGGGTTAAATGACTTTCTTCGACATTTTAAGTGTTATTGTCAGAAAAAACCGGGCAATAGCAAAAGATCGAGGTCGGCCGTTTACCTTCATGTTTTCACAGTATGAAAGCTATCTGAAAAGATGAACAACCGTGACATTTGGAGAAGTAGCCGTTTGATTTTCTTCGAGATATCACTATTTCGAGATTTTGGGACCTCTGGCGACCTAAAAAAGCACAAATTTTGGCCAAATTTGGGTGAAGTTAAAACATACTTGGTCAAACTCCCAAAAGTTCTTGTATTTTATCCATAACATCTATCGCTTCGTTAGTCGACTGGAATATGTGAAACTTCCTCTGCTTAAATACTCTATTTTTTACCTGGTGCTAAAAATCGCTCCTGAATCGTTAATGAGCGTCACCCAAATTTCAGTCATTTTCAGTTGACTGTTTTACCGAGATGCGGCAGTTTATTTCAAAAGTAAAATCATTTCTAGATGGCTTATTGTGCTGTTATCAAAATCCAGTTTATTTAAAATTGGTATCTAGCAGCAAATTGGAGAAAATGGCATGCGAAGGTACAATAATAAGCGTCAAGTATTAATATTTCCCGCCAAATTTTATAGCGCCACGTTTCGTTTTACTGTGATTGTGGCTCGTAGATATCTTAAAGTATACTTTCATGACTTCATTAAAAAGATAATTGAAAACTTCTATATCACTAATGACAAGGATAAACATTGTAAATCTCCGTTTTGATAACAATCTCCTGAATAAACAACTAAAAATGTCAAAAGCACGAAGCCCATTTTTCCCGCGAAAGTTTTAATTTATTTGTCAAGCAATAGAGTAAAGCCAGACTTTATTCTCAGTTTTCAGACGGTCGCCAGAAAACAAACTTAAATCAAACAATGCCATCAAAATGAAGACTTATCCTGATTAAGTTACTTCATATGGACACATTTTTCTCCAACTCTTGGACGTAGAGAAGAAAGCAATAGAACTTTTCTCTGCTTAATAACAGAATCTTAAATAAAATCAAGCACGGCAGTGAATGTCTTCAGATGTGCAGATGCCTTCTGACCCTGATCTGTTTCGGTTTTGTCACGTCTTTTGTGGCTCGGGCTGTATCACGCAGATGATTTAAATACTTCAAGTTAAATAAACTGCGACAGGACGGGTGAAACTCGGTCTCTCGTGCAAACAAATCTTCCCCTTGTACTTTGCGATGAAGATGACTATTGCCAAGCTCGAGGGTTCGAGGCTCAATCTGTTTCCCAGTAGGCTCCTTTAGAGCTCCTTCTTTGTCCTTGAACACTGGGAACTTAATGCATTGCTCTGTTTTTCCACACGATTTCAGTTCAAGCTTTTCACAGAAAATGCATTTGGAGGAAACAGCTGCGGAGCAGATGAGGATGATGATTTACGAGGGGAACGTGTTGTTGTTGTGGCTTCACTATTAGGTGTCACACTGGACTTCAACTTATCCTGGTTTTTAGTAAACCTTTGGTAACAGGTGATAGCAGATTGCTTCTAAATTTGCACCCTCGAGATTCTCTGGAATCTGCAAACAAACATCTTCCATGCGATTCGGTGAATCATGAGGTTCCATAACTCGCCTGTCACGAACTTCATGTAATTGGGAAAGCTTCTCAGTAGCAGATCCCTTGACATTACTGAGTGCTGTGAAATCGCCATGATGAATGCCACTCGCATGTAAAATACGGCGAAGAGCGGGCCGCTTGTGAAGAAAGTCTTGTCTGTTAGCGTTATTACCTTTGCGTTTCATCTCTTAAAATTCTAACAGAGATTTTTTTTTTTAACGATTTAGACTCTTAAAAGTGCAAAACATAGTTCAAATCTTTCTTAAAATAATATGAAAATATGACTTAACGCATTTTTAATTAGTATCAAAATGAAATCGCAGTTTAAGTACAAACTATCCAAATTTTCACATATATTTTTTTCGTTTTTATATACAGGCGTGTAGAATAAAAGTTAAAGTGAAAAGAAGAAGTAGCGATACGTAAAAATGCCCTGCATATTTGATAACCATTTCAAATGAGGTTGTAAATTAAACAGTGGCCCGGTTAATAGTTCATGTGCTGCTTGGCCTGTTTCACATTAGGATTGTAGTACTAGAAGCATAGTCTGATTTAAGAAGGCAATAGGGTGACTTATTTAATAGTATTTTCGCTTTGATCCAATTTTGGACTTTATAAGATTCTTTTTAATCTGTGGTTGCCCTTTTTTAAAATGGAAAAATTAATAGAGGTAATCATAAAAAACTGAGTTGAATATAATGTTAAGTTTTATTCTTTATTCTGAGCGTAAATCATACTTTATTTGTTTTCACTGTTTACTTCAAATTTATTTAATATGTCAAAAAAAGGACGTATATACTTTAAAGGTATTCGTTATAGTAAAAGTATACGCAAATAAAAGTTATTTGCCTCTTTTGATAAACTAATTATCCGCAATTAAGTTTCATTAGAAAACCAAGATGGCTGCCAAGATGGCCGCCACAAAGAGCACGAAAAAAAGGCCTTGGGACAATATTTCGCGATGGGAACATAGAATTTCTTTTTCAAGAGATCTTGAGGATTACAAAAATGTAAGTTAGAAAAATATATCCTAGGGGTGCATGGGAACCCTGCCTTCCGACTAGACTATTTCTCTGTTGTAACTTTTTTGCGTTTACTTCACGGTAATTGATTTTATTACCATTTCTAAGGCCATATTTCAGTATATAACAAATAAACCTTTTGTTAATTTCTGTAAATGTGTAATACTAATTTATCCTGGGTTAATACTTTTTTATCCTGTTGTATTTTTTTTTTTCATATCCTTTTTTCTGTTATGCCTCATTTGTGAATAAATAAAAAGAGTGTCAGCTGTGGAGAAACTGTAATCTAATTATGTTTGCCCTTTGCGTACGTTCACTTTCGTTTTTACGAACCCTCGGATTTTCATCAAAAACAGTTGCAAAAGAAAAAGAAACTGTGAATACTAATTTAGTTTACTTTTTGGTTGTCATGAAAAGGCTCTTCTGGCACAGATTACTACAACAGGTGTTGCGACAACTTAGAAGCAAAACGTTTGTTTGTACTTTCAATTAGCTTTGCACGCAAAGTTTATGTTGTCAGTAAAATTAGAGTTCAAGGTAAGAAAAAATATTTTAGCGGGGCTTAAGTATGATTTTCTCCATTGGCTTGATGGCAATAAGGTGTCTCTATCACTCGGTACACGCGGTTTGGACACAATGAAACCACCCTTTTTGAGTAAAGCATCAGTCATGGGAGACTGCAATCTGTCGCAAATACTTGCTTACGGGCGTTCGTGTTCCACCCTTTTGATGCACATCGTGGGAACTACTTTAAGCTAAAAAAGAAAATATGTAAAAATGAATGCATTACACTAACCTGAGCCAATAGGAACCACAGCATTGAATAAAACAAAGACTTCCGTTGACATATTAGCGTTTACACGTCTAGGGAGTTTACGTCCTCTCTTGGTACCTTCATGGTCTGGATAACAACATATTTCGACTTTACGA